AGATATATGACAAGACATTCAAGGCCAAATCTATAAACTCTGAATATTGCATTTATCATTGGAAGAAATGGGAGGTGCTTAGGGAAGTTCTTCTTTAGAAAGTGATCTCCTCCCAGGCTCCCCACAATTCACTCGGGATTAGGCACGGCAAGCACTGCAGCTGATTTTAATTGCCATGATGATGCATAGGGAGAGATGTGATGTCTGGAATAACTGGCTTCTCAACAATGAGGGGCTTTAAAGATTAAAGTCAACACTTGAAATTGCACCCACGACTGAATAGGAAGCTAATGCTGGCCATAGTATGCAGGTGTAATTCCCCATATGTTTAGGAGAATACTATAGCTGAGAGATGAAGCCCTCTGCCTCACACACAACAAAGACTCAAGGTCAGCACATCACAACATTCTATTTTGAAGGTCAAAAACACCAAGACCAGGATGCTAAGTAACACAAACATGTAGTGACCACGTTCTTAGATGTCAACTGTCAGTCTGAGAGACCAGTAGATATCTGGGAGATCTTAGCTGGAGATAAGCAGGTTGTTGAAACTGCATGCATTTTGAACACCTAAAATCTTGGTGTGGAAGGAAATTGACCTGCAGCTCCTGATACTACCTGGTAATAACTGTGGAAATCTTGGATGTCAGTGGCTGGCTAGACACTTTCAGATATGACAAATGCTGCTTCATACTTAACACCTGCATAAGAGTTCACTGATCATGATAATATCAAAGTGTAAAACTTGGGAAGAAAACTTATTCAGTAATCAGAGCATCTCTAAACATAGACCATCCTTGGTGAGCTAAACAAAATAACATACAGAATGTTACTGGAAAAATTAAATCACACCAGAAACAACACTGCTAATGTGAAAGAAAATTCTCCAAATAGTATAGTTTTGTTTTAGCCACTGACATATGGGAAAATTTATGTAGTAAAGTATATGCTTATAAAGTTTCAACTTATATTTAGTGGGGGAAGCAATTTATTATACCAAAAAAGCATAAATGTCTGACAGATGGTAATGCTTTTTTTTTTCTATTCTTGGCAGGGTCCATTTTTAGCTGAATAGCTTTCTTTTCTTAAAACTATGAACATTGTCACTCACACCTATTTTCTGAAATTAAACAGACCAATTCTATGATGAAACCCCCCATAAATGTGGTTACTGTACAATGTCTTCTTATTTTATATCATAAATTATCTAGGTATTACCACTTTCCCTAAAATAATGAAAAAGGTCAAAACAAAGCAAAAAAAAATCTGCAATAAAATTTTAAATTCTCTAAATTTTGGAAAATGTATATTTAAATTTATCCTGGTAAAATGTGATAAAGGAAACTATGAAAGATTATGTGGAAGCATATTCCCCCATTCATTCTGACATCTTTATTTTTGACTTTAAAAATATTCAGTTCCTTCAAACCATTCACTAGAGTATAATTTATGTTTCTAGAAAATCTGGGCAATGGATCGTGGGTCATCTTCTATACAATGGGCAAAAATTTTCATAAATGCATGTAAAATAAGCATGCTAGCTTATTTCCTTGCATATTCAAACCACATCTTTAAAGTAAGAAATCTGTTTACTTGAGAAAGAAGTGAAAGGATGCACTGAACAAGGTAGAAGTCAAGGTCAAGGGTGTGATTGGGTGGGTAGCACTAGATACAACCTCCTGGAGGGCAGAGATTAGCTCTTCATGCCTCCCACGATAGCCTGCATTGCATGCTGCCTACTTCAGAGTAGCGGTTTTTTCCCCCTCTCAGACCATTGTGGGAAAGCTGGCTACAGTTAGATTTATTAAAAGCTGATTCTCATATGAAATTTATAAAAAATGCTGCAGTAGTTAGGGTAACTCTAGCTGATAGCCGACCTTAATATTTCAACAGTTTAAGAAAATAAAATCTTATTTCTTATCCACTTAATAGCCCCAAGCAAAGGTAGAGAAAGCAGATGAGGCTCAAGGGAAGGGAGACCTTTGTGCCCCCAGCAATTATTCAGAGATTCAAGGCTTGCACTGTCTCCCTGATTTCCCAGCAGGCAGAGGAAGAGCTTGAACAGTGCTTGGGAGATGTGTCAAGGGTCAGGTTTGTAGGTATGTTGAGGTATCATTTTGCTTGTCCCCCCTCCCCTTGCTGGAACCCAGGAATAGTCACTCCCAAGCAGAAGGAGCAAGAAGGCTCAACCGCGCTGTCTGCTCTGATTGTGGGGGAAGAGAAAGTGAAATGTTTGATGAACTAGTCCTCTTTCTGGAGACAATAAATGTCTCACCATTGTATTGCTGCCAAAATTGGGGTTGGACAGTTGTGACATAAAACAGAGCTAGCGACGCTTTCTTTACGACATTAATCTAATAATTTTCTTTTTTTCTCCTTATTCTGGCTCCTTTGTTTCTCCTTATGGGTGACCTATTTTATCAATCATCTGCTAGTGATTAAATGTAACAAGTAATCGTGCATGTTTTATTTGGAACTATGCATTCATCAAGAAGGAATAAAATTAGTGATATAGTATGACATGCATAAATATTTAATTTTTTTATGAAACATAACTGGATTTTATTTTATTTATTTATACAAGCACTGGGTACAGTCAGAAGCGCGGGAGGGTGAGAGAATTCACCAGAGCCAGAGCGGGGAACAGAGCAGGCAGAAGGACCGAAGTACACTGCTGAGGGGAGCAGCGGGCGGCAGGAGGGGTCTGCACGCCATGTGGGACCCTCCTCCGGTGGCCGGGGAGCAGCCGGGGATCGAACCGGCGCTGCAGAGGCTGCGGGCAGCTTCGCAACCCAGTGCTCAACCGCTGCACTGGGGAGGCCTGGCTTGCAAACTTTTTACTACATTCCTAATAACTTTTTCCCCAAACAGGTTAAGAGCATGGGAAGAATTGATCAGGATTCAGAATGATGTAATCAGTCACTACTTAGATTTTTTTCTTTTGGCTTGTGATAGATTCATCTTTATATTCAAGCCTTAATCCAAACACAGCTTTCACTTTATAATACTGAGGAAATTTTAGTGCAGAGAAAATTCTATGACAATGAGTCGGTGACAGCCAAGCGTGTTGCTATAGAGACCCGCAGAAAGTCCCTCCTGGGCTTGACCCCCTTCTGCAGGCTTTCTTGACAAATTTACGTCAATTTGTATTATCTTGACAATTTAGATTACCTTGACAAGTAGAGAAGAGAGGGCCTTCAGAGAGGTGGCGTGTGATTAGGCTGCATGCACCTATTCCTCCCCAGAAGATAAGCAGAACACAGCCTAACAAGAAGGGAAAATTTGGAATTTTTCATAAATTTCCTGCAAAAAGACTGTGTCTAGAAATGACTTTCTCTTTAGTGTCTGTATTAAAGAATTGGGGCAGGAGGAGAGACAATGGCCTAAATTATAAACAGAGTTGAGAAGACTCATCATTGCTAAACCCACCCTCCAAATGAAATCAGAACGGAAAGACTGGCTGTCAGCAACCCCTCCCACACAATTTCTTCCTCAAAGAAACTGTTAAAAGGGGTCAGTTTGTGCTGAATGAAGCCAAGCGGCAAGTCGTGCTCACCATCTAGCATCCCTTGCCCAATGGCTCATGAAGCTTCTCCCTCCAGGCTGAGTGGGGAGGGCGTAGCCAAACAGTGGTCAGCTCTGCATTTCATTGGGTCTCAAGAGAGCAAGCCTCTTTGATCGAGTTCTTCCCTGGTGTCCCCAAATTTGTCTCACCCCAACAAAAATAAGGTGAGCCTCCTCCCCAAAGTGGGGGTCTCTCCTTGTGCAGGCCTGGAAGCGGTGGAGGGTCAGCACACTGGATTTGTGACCCAGATAATCCTGGTTCCACACTATGGGGCTTGGAAGACGGTAGTTGTGAGAATGAAAGCAACCAGTGCTCTGGGAACAAGCCACACAGTTACTATTCTTACTGTCATTGGTGTTCTGCAGACTGTCTCACCAGGATATTTTAGATATTGGTGCATCTGAGAAAAAAGGGCGGCTTTGCTCACAGGTGGAGGGCAGTTTAAAAGAACTGGGGCTGTATTTGGATGTAAAGATGAGCAGATGAAAAAAATCAGCTTCATCTGTAAAATGAGATAGTTCTAGCTTATTATTTCAATGATCCTTGGAGCTATACATGTTAAATATATTGGATTAGGGCTGAAATATTGAAAGCAGTTATAAGCACTTTTATCCCTTGAAAATAAAGAATAAATAAATAGACAATTTAAAAAAAAAAAAAAGAACTGGGGCTGGGCCTCCCTGGTGGCACAAGGGGTTAAGCACCGCGCTATGAAGTAATCCACAGCCTCTGCAGCACGAGTTAGATCCCCGGCCAGAAAGCAACCCACATGGTGCAGCAGACCTCTCCTGTCGCGCCCGCTGCTCCCCTCAGCAGTGTATTTCAATCTGCCTGTTCTGCTCCCCACTCTGTCTCTGGTGAATCCTCTTACCCCCTGCACCTCTGGCCTGCACCCCAGCTCTTGTATGCATAAATAAATAAATCTTAAAAAAAAAAAAAAAGAGCTGGGGCTGCCTAGGCAGGGCCATGAGTCAGAAAGACACTGATGCCTTGTGCAATTCTCTAAAGGATTGGGGTTGAGGAGGGTCCTGGAGGCAGAAGCAACCAGGATGGAGGGCAGGAGACTAATAAGGGAGCATCTGGGGCAGATGGAACGATTGATTAAAAAAAAAAAAAAAAAAAACAGAAAGGCCTGGCTGTCCCAGAGGGAATCAGGGCTCCATTCTGGGTCAGCCAGTCTGGAGGAAACCTTGGCGGAGAAGTTGTGGACGGGGCTCCAGGGCTTCTGGGTTTCTGGACCTTCTGCTAGGAAGGTCTCCAAGAGGCAGCCCAGGGTAGGAGGAAAGTGTGAGCAGACTGACCGGTGCGGCCAGGGCCCCGCGCGCCTCCAGGTGCAGCTCTGCGGGAAGATCCCAAGATCGAACCCCAGCCGGGGTGGGGCCGGGCTGCGAGGGGCCTCGCGCCGCGAAACGCCGTTGCTGGGGCGACCTCAGCGGTTGGCCAGTGGCTTCCGACCGGGTTTGGGGGAAGGGAGCCAGATTCGTTCAGGAATTGGGCGTGGCTCCGGTTGCTATGGCAGCGGGGACGCTCGTCCAGGCCTGAGTCCCGCTTAGAGGCCGAAGCTCCTCCCGACCTTTGCATGGCACCCAAGAAAGAGAAAGGCGGGACAGCGAACGCCACGATCAAGGCTTGGGAACCCTCGCTCATCGCTGCGCACTTCAACCAGGTGAGCCCCAGCCCCCAGCGCCGGAGCCCGGGGCTCGCAGGCTCCTCCGGGCGATGCCACCCGCCCCTGCAAACACTCCCCCTGCCCCACCGCCAGGCCTAATTGTTCAGCTCGAAAATGACTCCAAACCAAAGCGCCCAGGGTCCCATCTGTAGGGAGGGCTTGGTCGAGGAGCGAGGGTTATGGTAAGAAGGGGCAGGGTGTGCTGGGAGAATTGGGTGATTCCAAGGGGCCTGCAGGTACTTGGTGGGGAAGGAAGGGGGTGTCACTCTGACACCCCAGGATCCTTTTCAGTGAATCGCTTGGATGGTTCTACACAACTGAACTGCGGTTGTGTTTATGGGCCGCTGGCTTCCTGCTGGCATCTTTGCCCTGGTCCAGGACTAAGGCTTTAGTACCTGCTGAGTGAAAACAGGCGTGGGGCACCTGAGAAAAGGACGCATTTAACGCAGGTGAAGCTGCTGTTACAGGTAGGGAAGGATGACTTATGTGGTGCCCTCACATCACTCTCTCAAAGTTTTGATGAACTATTTAAAGGTATTGTGGGACGTCAGAGTAGTGAAGGGCAATGCACAACCTGCCTGATGACTTCAAATTGCAGCACGACCAGAAGGGACTTGAGCCCCACTCACACCCCCTCCCTGTCACCAGTGAATTGTGGGGCCAATAGCTCTTACACCTGGCCTTGGAAATCTACTTCAACACTAAATTGTCTCAAAGTCTAAGGTAAGGTTTGAAGGAGGAAGGTTGGTTGTGGGAATTCCAACATGCCATTCCAGAATATTTTAAAAACTGGAAAAGTGTTTGGTTGTGTATGTGTGCACAGTGCACTCGGGAGTCCTGAAGTCTTACAGTGCACTCAGAAGACCCATATGCCCTTATTTCCCATTGTAATTATTTTTCTTCTATGACTAGTAATTGTGTCTGTTATGGAAATTAGCCCTGATGAAGAGCTTCATGAGAATAGTTGTTAGTGCTGATGCTGTCATGACTATCCAGGAAGTTTTGGTGATTTCTGTAACTTCGGCAGTGAGGATGTCAACTCAGTCATTCCCAGTTACATTCTCAAATTTTCAAACATGTTTTTCAAAATACTCTCTAAAAGCACCCTTTCTTTTGCTTTTTGTAAGTCAGCACCAGCCAAAATATTTTTTCTCCATTTTCTTTGAGATTGTATAGGCCAAGTTTGGACTTGGAGTGAACATTTCTGCTTGAATTATAAACTGCTGAACAACGGGGTTTGATGGAGGTGCTGACACAGCGTTAGCTTTAGTGTTGCAAATATGAAGCTATAATTTTCCTAGTTGAATGGAAAAACCTAAACGCACTGTTTTTCCTTATGGCTCGAAAACCTGAAATAATATTCAGCTTTCTTGGTCCTGCTCAAACAATATAATTTCAATAAATCTTATATATTAATAGAAATAATTTGAGCTCAACGTAATATATAGTTCTAATTATGAAGAGTGAACATCTTCGATTCGTTGGAACACATCTTTTTTTGGCAGAGGAAGACAATTGCTCTCTACCTCCTCTCCAATTTTTTTCTTCTCATCTTGATTTCATGTCTGATCCAAGAAGAAAATTCCTAGATTAACCCAGCAGCTCCGTGCCCAGAGACATGTCCTAACCACTCATGTGATAGATTCTAACTTTGGATTTTAAATAACTGTAATTGTGTGAATTCCATATTCACAGGGTTAACAAAGTGCTTTGTACAGAGTGGGTGCTCAAAAATATGCTAATGATTTAATTTCCAGAAAGTTTCTTTCCATACAATTGCTACCATGTGCAAAACCGTGCTCCAGTATGGGTGACTGAATATATGTGTAGTAGTCTGTGTGTGTGCTGTGTGTGTGTGTGTGTGTGTTAGAGTGGAAAATGGAAGTCCTTTCTCAGAAGTTTTACATAAGCCAGTTTGTAAGGAAACCAAATCAATAGTTTTGAACTCATGTCCATATTTGGGCCACATTAGACTTTAAAGAGAAAAGGCAAGTTTACAGCACTAGCTTAGAAACTTCTTTGCGTCACTATTTTGCGTTGCCATTTCAAGCTGGAAAAATTGTCTCATATATATATAAAATGCTATAAATTTTTAACTGGCTTAAGAGCTCTTAGAACGCTAGTTTGGTTATTCTCTAGTTGTTTTTCTAATGTTTCTGTAGGGAAAACAAGGCCTAGAGCCTCCTAGTCTGCCAATTGATTTATTGATTCCACTGTGGCCTAAGAGATTTTGCAATAAGTTCTGATTTTGAAGTCCCTTCTTCCAAACATATCATGCAGCAGGTGATGATAGGGAAGAGGACATGAGAAGAAACTTTGAAACTATAAATCATAACAATTTAAAACATTTTCCAGAATTGTTCAAACAACATAGCAGTTCCCTCTAGGAACTTGGAGATTATACCAGGCATATTTCTGAATAATACCATGTGGTTTCAAAATGACTAAGCTGTATGTTTCTATGGGAATATTGTTATAATGAGAACTTCTGTGTCAACACAGGGAGATAAAAACCACAACTTTATATGTATTAAATGACAGCATAGGGACAAATGTTCATAATATTTTAAAGGAAAAGAAGAATTTATAGTTGGCTTCCAAGATAGACTTTTGTCCCCAGATGTGTTCTTCAGACTTCCCAGTTCCCTAAAAGTTCATCTGGGTTTCTTTGTCTAGTTTGGTTTGGGATTTTATTATTTTTAATTTAAAATATATTTATATTTTCAGATTATCTGAGCATGATTGTTTCTTTTCATTGGTTCCCAGTTTAAGGATTCATTTTTATGTGTAGCAGCCATTACTTATTAGTGTAGCAATTATTCCATTTACTTACTGTGACTCACCACAGACATTAAAAACACTGAAGAAAAAGTTTATGGCATCCACACACCTCTTACTGCAGTCAACTTCATTACTCCAATATTCACTATTATGTCCCTAATACCCGACTTAAGGAATGAGAACATTCTCATTCTTATTTGTCTTGTGTTTACTATGAAGACTTACTTCTTGGTTCACCCTTTCGTGAGTCCACAATATAAATATTTATTTTAAAATATTTGGAGGCAGCTACTGAAATATATCAAGGTACTTTCTGAGACTCTTGAGATCTTGCTTCCAATTTATATATTTTCATTCTCAGTGTATTTTATCTTCTTTTCAAATAATTAATATGTGCATCAAAGATACAGAATGGTGCTATACATGGTGGTGCTATCCTTGGCAACACCTACACAGAGATAGACATTCATGGTGCATATGGGCTATACTGTCCCTTTTATAAAACTGAGAAGCAGGGTCTCACTGGTGGCACAAAGGGTTAAGACACAGCACTGTGAATCTATCCGCAGCCACTGCACCATGAGTTCAATTCCGGGCTAGGGTGCTGACCCACAGGGCACAGCAAACCTCTCCTGTCTCCCCGCTGCTCCCCTCAGCAGTGTATTACAGTGGATCCGTCTGTTCTGCTCCCTATTCTGTCTCTGTTGAATCCTTTCACCCCACCCCATACACACACACCTCTGGCCTGCAGTCCAGTTCTTGTATGCATAAATAAATAAATCTTAAAAACAAAACAAAACTGAGAATCAAAGCATTTCAATGTCTGGTCCAAAGACATAGCACTTGCAGTAATTTGGCCAGTGGCGGACAAGATCATGGTTTTTCTTACTAGCCCATTCTTCTTCCTTAACAACTACAAGTTATGTAGGATGATTGTAACATTTTCTGTAGCACTTGCGATTTAAAACAAAATTTTACACATTTGATGTAACGTCAATCCCTAAAACATTGTTTGTTATAAAATAAGTATTAATAGACTAGAACAAGTAATTTAAGATATGTCTATTGTGAAGATATTGAGTAATACTTAAATATTAGATCAATGTATTGCTTAAAATCAATAAATAGAGAAGGGCGGTATTTATTTTCCCTGAAACTTGACTTTACCCTTCTATCTCTCTTGTCTTCTGATTCTCATAGATAATATTTAGAAGAGAGAAAAGTCATAGCAAGGTCTTTTTGTATTCAGCTTTTTTGCTTTTTTTTTTTTTTTCATTTTCCAGAAATCATGTATGTAGGACAAAGAGAAATTGAGTACCCAGTTATGGTACTCGATTTACGGAAAAGTTGAATACCTTATTACGGTACTCAATTTACGGGATGTCTTGAATTATTTGCATATCATTTTATGTTTAGAGAGCACAAGTATAACGTGAACTCCTTCAAAACAAAAACCACAGCTTGTGCTCTTACATCCATCCCATAATGGTTCTAGGCACATGGACCCACACTCAAACTCTTCATGGAATTTCCTTTGAAATATGAAGTAACCTGTATGGTGAAGACCAGGACAGTTAGGAGGCTGAGGAGATGTCTTCTCAGAGAAGTGGAAGAAGTAAAAAAGACTCATATATGTATCTGCCATCACAGCAGACCCATAGCTGAGTCATGAGCATGCCCTGAACACGACTCTTCAGTGATGCTGTCTCGCTTGTCAGAGACATTTCACCTGCTAACCAGGAAGCATTTGCGTGAAAGTTCTTTGGTATATTTAGTTAGCAGTCTCTACCCCTCTTTACTCCAGTAATAGTATTTCTCTGTTATCAAAAGTCACAGTAGCTAAGTTGTACACACTTGAAAAATAGTAATAGAGTTCCTTGTAGTCTTGGACGAAACTTATAATTCTTGTGAATGTTTGGAAAGAATGGTTCAAAGTACGTACTGCTGAAATGTTAACACCCCAGACTTCTTCAATAAAGAAAGTTCTATAGAGATACCAGGATGACAATAAATTGAATCTAAGCAGGTTTTAGGGGACATGTTCAATTGAATTAAAATGCTTGAAACCATTAGAAATGTTGTTTATCAAAAAGGGAAATACATTTTACTGGACGGAACCCTTGAACAATTTTTGAGAGGGAGTAAAGGATTTTTCAACTTTTTTGATCTTAAACAGTAAGCTATTTCTCTTGTTAATGTGTATTTAAGACTTACTG